AGAGAAGGAAGGTAGAGAGCTGGAAGACATGATGCAGAGAAGGAAAGTAGAAAGCTGGAAGACATGAAGCAGAGAAGAAAGGTAGAGAGCTGGCAGACATGATGCAGAGAAGGAAGGTGTATGTTTCTTGTGTCCAAGAGACCAAGTGGAAGGGCAGCAAAGCTCGCAGCATTGGAGCAGGGTTCAAACTGTTTTACCATGGTGCGGATAGAAAGAGAAATGTGGTCCTGAAGGAGGAGTTGGCAAAAGAATGTAGTAGAGGTGAAGAGAGTGTCAGATAGGGTGTCATTAGGCTTCTAGCAACAGTTTTATGAATGTTAAATTTTAGTTATGTTATTCAACATATTTTTTTCATTAGCAACACTTTTCACATTTTTAGATTTGGCTACTGTATAGCTCATTTAATCTTTACCTTTGTTTTAGCTAGTTTTAGCTTTTAGCTAGAGTTATGCTACATTTTTCTTTGAGCTATTGTTTTGCTAATATTGGCTTTTAGCTGTAAATTTTCTTATTTTAATTTTAACCCGGGTTTAGACACCTAATCCCTAATTGCTCCCCAGGTGCTACATAGCTGCCCACTGCTCCACCTGCGTGTATCTCACGTGTGATGGGTTACATGCAGAGAACTGCTTTAGTCATTTTATGGGAACATTCAACGATGACAACACAAATACTATGTACAGTATGTAAGCTAATATAATATTAGCTTGTTGATACCTTTTTGCATAAAAAATAAGCTATGATTTTGCTAATGTTAGCTTTTAGCTAAAGTTTGATGCTGTTTTTCATTTTTGCTTTCAGCAACAGTTTTGCTAACGTCGCCTTTATTTACGGTTTAGCCTTTTTATCAGCTTCTGTTTTTGTTTTAGCTATAAGCGATTCTTCAACGGGTTTCGGCAATGTCGTGCAGCCCTTCCACACATTTCTCTCATTTTTATTTGCTTCGTGGTGATGTCACAGGTTCCAACGTCTGCACATCACGAGGAGTCACCACTTGTCAGCAGTGCCTCGCCGTTCATCCGAGCTGCGCCTGGTGCTCCCAGCAGGTATAGATTTTGTTTTTGCTTCTTTCGGCTGCTCCCTTCTTCAGGGGTCACTACAGTGAACTAACTCTCATGAAGACTTGACAATGGTTTTGATGCTGGATGCCCTTCCTGACGCAACCACAGACCACCGAGAGCTGCCATCTAGGGTGCCCGGGGGAGCAGAGGGTGCAGGTTAAGGGCCTTGCTCAAGGGTCCAGAGTGGGGCAAATGGAGGCAGGTGTGGGTGCTTCATCTTTCCCATCCAATTTTGAGGTTGCCGGTCCGTGGAGTCGAACCGGTGATCTTCCAATACCACCTTCTCTAACCTCTGCACCACCACTCCCCCTCTCCCAGGAGGTATAAAAACATCTGTGTGAAGCTGCTCCTCAGCTCATTGAAGCAAGCTGAAACAAGATCTCTGTTTCTCAACTGCATTTTTTCATTCTTCTTCTGTTTTGATGAATGCTCTTGTGATTCTTCAGCACATAGAAAAACAGCTGCTGGTGGCAGCTTTGTTCTTGGATGCGTCGAAGCGTTTTTCCTCTGCTTTAACACTTGATTCAAATGTTTACCAGAACGCACGTGCTTGTTTTTAGGAGATCGGGATGGCGGGGTCCGGTGTTTCTCGCTGTGATCTCAAAGCGAACCTGATAAACGAAGGGTGCAGCTCAGCGGCTCTGGAGTTCCCCTCCAGCACTCTGACCGTCCTGCAGGATGATCCTCTCAGTGACAAGGCTTCGGGTACGGCTGACGACGTCACTCAGGTCAGGCCTCAGAAACTCCAAATAAAGTTAAGACCAGGTAGGCTCAGAAACTGCACCCAGACATCAACAACAACAAATGTGCCAGAGGCGGGCTCAGTTTCTGTTTTCCTCTCAGGTGATGCCAAGAAGTTTACCGTGACGGTGAAGCAGGTGGAGGACTACCCCGTGGACCTCTACTATCTGATGGATCTCTCATACTCGATGAAAGATGACCTGGATCGCCTGCTCACCTTGGGCAACAAGCTCGCTGACACAATGGGCAAAACCACGAGCAAACTGCGCATGGGCTTTGGAGCCTTTGTGGACAAGACCATCTCGCCATACATGTACTCCTACCCTCCAGAGGCCATTCAGAACCCTTGTTTTGAGTATGTAGCTGCTTGAAGTTTGGTTTATAAAGGATTGTACAATGAGATTCAGATTATAATCTTGCTTTTTCGCTCATTAACAGTATAGCTGATCAGTGCATGGCTCAGTTCAGCTTCAGGCATGTGTTGCCCCTGACAGAGAAGGTGTCTCGCTTCACGGAGGAAGTGAAAAAGCAGAAGGTGTCCAGAAATAGAGATGCTCCTGAGGGTGGTTTTGATGCCGTCGTGCAGGCTGTGGTGTGCAAGGTATAGAAATGTACCCCAAAGCAGTTTGTCTTCTGCTCATCATCTCAAGCACTTCTTTGACCATCCTCATCAGGAGAAGATCGGCTGGCGTCCGGATGCCTCCCATCTCCTGGTGTTAACCACTGACGCCAAAACTCACCTTGCTCTGGATGGACGTATTGCCGGCATTGTCCAGCCCAATGATGGACAGTGTTACCTGGACAGTGACAACGTTTACAACAAATCCACCGTGCTGGTATGGAGAGAATTTAAACACACTTTTAGTTCAATGTCTTATTTATTGTTTTTAGTTTTAAGGGTTGATTGATAAACTGGTGCTTGTGTTTTCCAGGATTATCCCTCCTTGGCTCTCATGACAGAGAAGATGTCTGAAAACAACATCAATTTGATTTTTGCTGTGACGAGCTATGTTGTGCCTCTTTACAAGGTAAACCAGCAGAAGTTTATTTTATTTGAAAATGCAGTCTGTGCTGAAGACGCTGAAACTGAGGCAAGATAAAAGAAGCAAATCCCTAGCTAAAGTCCAAAGGTAACAAAATGCTAGCTAAAAAAATGCAATGCAGCTAAATGCTAGCTAAAACATAAAAGCAGAATTTTGCTAGTTAAACACAGCAGAAACACTAGCTCCAAGCAACAAAAGGCTAGCTAAAAGCAGCAAAAGACCAGCTGAAAGTAGCAAAAGGCAAGCTAAAAGTAACAGGCTAGCTAAAAGTAACAAAAGGCTAGTTAAAAGTAGCAACAGGCTAGCTAAAAGCAACAAAAGGCTAGCTAAAA